GGGCACTGGTGCTATCCCCATTTCCTGGAGGGCACTGGTGCTATCCCCATTTCATGGAGGGCACTGGTGCTATCCCCATTTCCTGGAGGGCACTGATGCTATCCCCATTTCATGGAGGGCACTGGTGCTATCCCCATTTCATGGAGGGCATACAGACATTGAGTCAGAAGCTCTAGGTCACAGTGTCAGCTGGATTTTGGACTACAAGCTCCTGCCTCATGATTGCCTCAGGGGAAAGTCACATTTTTCCCAGAAAGGGCCAGAGAATAGACATTTCCAGTTTTGTGGGTCATTACAGCCTGCGAGCACCCCTGATTGCTGACTCTTATAACCAGTTTTCTTAAAAACAAAAGAGGGAAGCACACATGTCCCCCACAGAAAATGCTTTGAAAGTATGGAAGGCACGTGCCATCCATGGTTCCTGGGGAGGAAGGGGGTGTGTGCTGCTCCCATGGTCCTGATTCGGCGAACTTGACATTTCTCTCTTGAAGTAGCATTTAAGAAGCCTCCAAGCAGACTTCCACTCTCACTGTCTGTGGCGCTTCTTTTTTACTCCGAGTTGGGAGTGTTTGTTGTTTGCTGTTAAGAGACAAGCAGCTGAAGCATCCCCGAGAACAGAAGTCCTCAGACGCAGAACCTCTAGAGTTAGAAAATAGAAATGCATGAAGTTCCAGACAAGAGATTACGCAATGTTTCTCGGAGCTGAGAATTTGAACAGGGCATCTGTTTCCCCCCACCCTCTCTGGAGGACCCCGTGTGTACTATGCAGACAAGAACAGATCCTGGGGCGTCCTCTGCTTTGCCGTTGTGTCTGTCGATGTCCAGTGTGTCGCACATCTGGATGACCGCCTGTCTACTCGGCCTCTCTGGCAGGTGGAACTGCACCTGCGCCTGCGCGTCCCACAGATCGGCCACTACGTGATCATGCTGGAGTATGCCACGGAGGTGGACCAGCTTTTTGTGGTGGACGTGAACCTGAAGAGCCCAGGGTCTGCCTTGGCAGGCCAGGTGAACATATACAGCTGCAAGCACAGGTAAGGAGCCCAGCCCCGGAATTCTCCCAGCAGGGAAGTCGGCGGGGCTTTGGTGATCGCTGCCGCACTGGATTTACTTCCTTTTGGGGCAACCTTTGAAAACTAGCAGGCAACTAGTTAGAGGGTATTACATTATCCCCAGGGTTTGGGAGCCTCTCTGTGGGCAGCGTTGTGAAAGAGTACACATCTGTCTTCACGACCCACCGTCAGAATCTGGCATCATTAATGGTTGATGGTCGCTGAGCAAAAAGCAGGGACGGAGGTCTCTTGGAGGTCTCTCAAATTTACCCTAACGAAATTTTCACCCAAGAGCGCTAATTGACAAGGGCTTACTAAAATTGATTTTCTTTGCATAATATTTCAAGAACATTCTTTAATTAAAGAATCAGCACAAAGGATTTTGCAGACTAAGTACAATTAATGACACCCGAAGCTGCGGTCCCTTGATACACAAGAGGAGAGCTATGGTGAGCACACCAGTCCTTGGTCACGGCCTTCAACATCCTGTTAACCTGGTTTTTATGATGCTTTATGTCAAACCCAAGATAACTTGAAGTAGCTGACCATCTTCCTGGTGCAAAATGAAAAAATGTATGCCAGGAGTTGCTTTCAGCAGCTGAACACAGGCATTTTTGTGACACCTGAACAAATGTCTCTTGGATTAATGTTATGCTCCCAGTGACTCTAAATCTGCAGAGGGATGAAGATCTCAAAAATGAAGAATCATGTTTGGATGTATGTGTAGTGTCAAGGCTCAAACCCAGTGCATGCACATGCTGGACTCTCCCACTAGGCCTGTGTCCTCAGCTCTGTACGTGAGTTTTAAGGGCATGGGATGAGCCTGAAGTAGTTTCTCAGAACCATCTACCAGTGTCTGAATATAAGACTTTCATGGACAGTTGGCATCAGTACCACTGTAATGTGTACCCCCTGCGGGGAGGGCCTCAGGTGCCTGAGTCCTGGGTGTATTGGCCACAGGGGTTCTTCACTGTCTCTCTATCTGAGCCCAGCTTCCTGTTCAGCTTCCAGACTCCTCCTGTCTTTCACACCATGGGCTTGATTCCTTTTCACAGAATCTAAAAGGAGGTCATGGGATGGTCATGTGCTACCAAACCTGGCCTGACAGGAAGGTTTACAAAGCCAAAGAAAGAAAGAAAACCCTTGCAGGATTCCATGTGGGTTTTCTGATGAGGGAGGCTGTATCACATTCTAGATCCTTTAGCAAATCCATCGTTAGAACAGGACAGCATCACATTAGACTAGAGATTGCCTGCTTCATACCTAACCACTCCTAGGAAAGTCACACTGCATATTTTTGCTTGGCCAAAGTATTTCCCTTTTTTATGTTCTGGGAGTCATAGTGGTCAACTGACTACAAGGCTGGGAGTCTAAAAATACAGGAAGGCCTGTTCTAAATGACAGGTCTGCTCAGCATTGCACAGTCTCCTGCTGAGGTTTGAACTTTCTCCTGCATGTCTCAAGTGATTTCTAACCACTCTGTTAGAAAGACAACATCTCAGCGAAACAGTGATGGGTGCATCACTTTTCAGAATAATGCGATGATAAATCAAGTCTTCTCCCCATCATGCAGTGACCTGTAATGGATAAACCAATGGCCATCTGTTTCTTAGTGAGACTTTTTAAAGGATAACAATAAAACTAAATGCAAGTGAATCAATGTATTTAGCTCCCAGGATAACACTTCAGTCCAAAAGAACTGCTTCAATTGCACTTAGATGCAGACGTTAGGTTTCTATCTGTGCACCCAACTTCTGCCTGATTCTTTGCATATTTTTACCTCCTTTTAGTTATTACCCAAGCATCCTTGACTAAACTATTTCTGGTGTTTATTGGGGTGGCCATATTGTCCTATCCTTATACTAGCTCCATATTCTACATATGCAAAGGAAAATGGCCTTAAATATGCTTCCTAATGGACTTACCGTCAGAGTCCATGCTGCAAGATGGTGACTTTAAAAAAATGGTCTCAAACCCTATGGAATGGAAGGGTGGGAGCCAGGGGTAGAAGTGGAAAGGGACTAAGAAAGAAAACTGCCTCAGCCTTGCAGGTCAGCTGGCTTACCCTTCCCCCATGATAGGAAAGCCAGCTGTGTTTACTGATGCGTACCTTGAACAGTCCAAAGAATATTGGTAAATTTCTAGAAGATCTGCTGTCACTGCCCCAGGATACCTTTTCCTAATGACTAACCATGTCTTCTGTCACTCCAGGTGGAAAGGGGGAGCAGGGGCCGCAGACCTCAGAGGTCCAGCAGGGGCCACAGTCCTGAGAGGTCCAGCAGGGGCCGCAGTCCTGAGAGGTCCAGCAGGGGCTGCAGACCTCAGAGGTCCGGCAGGGGCCGCAGTCCTGAGAGGTCCAGCAGGGGCCGTAACGGAAAGGTCCTCTTATCTATAGAGATGGTGGTTGGAATCTAATTCTCCTTGTGCTGCTATAGCAGATCAGCCCGGACCTGGTGCTTTATAAATAAAGAAGCTTGTTTCTCACTGTTCTGGAAACTGGGAGTCAGCATCTCCTGGGAGGCTCTTGTGCTGAGTCATTCCGTGGTAGGAGCGGGAAGGGCAAGAGTGCACATGAGCACCAGAGTCTGGTTCCCATGTCAGCTAGCCCACCCTCACTGAAATGGATGATAAACGGCGCTGGTGGCGGCGCTGGTTACCGTGTGGAAAGGTCACGGTCACGACAGACCCAGTGTTAGTTTTAGAGCTTTATTAGGAGGAAGAGGGGTGGGAGAAGAACCAGGCCTGGGAAAGGAGCTCGTGCAGTGAGAGGGAAAGATGGTGGGAGACAGAGCAGAACAGAGAGAGAGAGGGTGGGGTCTGCGTCACAGCTCTTTAAGGGGCAGATTGCGTGACCACATAGCACATATGTGATCACCGGTGCACACTGATGACGTAAGATGCAAGACCCTTCGCTTATGTCCTGAACTGCGCATGTGCAGTCATGCAGCTGGAGTGAGGGCAGAGTTCTGACACCCACAGTAACAGCAGTCCACCCACAGAGCGGAGTCTTCACTCCCTCGCCACCTTTTAGAGATCACAGTGGCAGTTTCTTTTCAAATGAGTTTTGGGTGATCATTCCAACAGCAGTAGGCCACATCCCTTTTTGACTTGTACAGGAGAATTGCCTCTGGTCCACCCAGTTACAATCAGGAAGAGCTGACCATCTGTCGGGCACAGCAAGGGAGATGCCAGGTGTCAGGCTAAGAAAACTCTGTTCCCTTTTGCAGCATTCTGTGCAGGAGCGTGGTGATTGACAGCCTGAGTCGTACGGCTGTGTACGAGCTGTTAGCAGATGCAGACATTGAGCTCAAGGTGCACATGGCCAAGTTCCTTCTGGTATGCCTTCCTCTAGCCCATGAACTTTAGAAGCCTTCTGCTGTCATCTGTATTTCTCAAAAGCTTATTAAAATTTGGGTGGAGGTGGTGCACGCCTTTAATCCCAGCACTTTGGAGGCAGAGCCAGGCAGATCTCTGTGAGTTCAAAGCCAACCTGGTCTACAGAGCAAGATCCGGGACAGGCACCAAAACTACACAGAGAAACCCTGTCTCGAAAAACCAAAAAAAAAAAAAAATTGGGCTGCAATTGCGTGGTATCTGTAAATTCAGCCTTGACAGTAACTGTTCTCCGCGTCAGCCTTCTTCATGTCGCCTCATAAAGTTCAGCCATCAAATTTGAATGCATCCCACAAAAAAAATCACATTTCATTAATTTTTGTTTATCATTACCATAAGTGAAATACCTTTTGTCATTATATTTTCTACTTTATTATTATTATGTCTGGGTGCAGAAATGACACTGGCTATCATTTCATTCTGTCCCATTTACTATCCTATGTAGTTTCTTGGGACGTTTCATCAGCTATTTAAATTTTACAACTGGTTATATTATAATACCCTATATTCCAATAAGGAATTCAGTTACTGAGATATACACTTTTAAGATTTAAATGCCAACTGATGGGGCAGATTAAATGATATTCACACCCACCCATGTGACTGTGAGAGCTGTGGTCAACAATGGGGTCTCTCTAGGAAAGGGATCGTAATACTTACATGAACTGCCTCAGGGAATTTAAGATTACCCAAGTGTGAAACAGCTTCCTGTTAAGGCTGGCAGCAAGCATGCATCACACCCGGGAAATGCCAGGGGGAGTGCTTTAAATATTTGTGCCTAACCTAGCAGGAGTAAGTAAAAACTTGGAACTTAAGGGATAGTTTGGAATCAGACTTTTAAAATTATTATTATGAGATGGTAGTTTTCCTTCTGAGAATCTAACCTTGTCATTGTTGGAAATTGTCCTGGGACTGGCTCAGCCTTTTAAGTGTGCCCTTTAAAAAGTAGCCCAAGGTCACTGAAGGTCAGGGTGACTAGCATGGATGTTCCATGAAGGCAGAGCATTGTCCATCTTGGTCCTATAGACACCGCGTCTTGGTGATGCTCCTTACATTTTTGTTGTTACTACTGACCTGCTCTGCCATCAAGCTGGTAATACGGTCTGACTTCAAATCTAACAAAAGATATGTTAGTGGCTGAGTTTCTTATGTGACCCAGAAACTGGCTGTAGAGACAAATCCTTCAAAGTCCAAGTAGGCTGAGGTCCGAGACATCCTCTATCAAGAGAGTTCCTTTCTTCGAGCAACAGGCCCTTTGGGCATCTGCTGCCTCTCTCTCCTCCTGAAGCATCTCTGGTGTCAGCGTTGGCCCTAGGAGAGAAAAAAAGAGGCACCAAAGGCCCCTGAACAGAGCAGATCTTGAACCTTCCCATGATTTTGTTCTTTGACTTATTTGTAAAATTATTCCCACAACAGTGTAGTCAGTGATCTTGTGTAACAAGAAAAAGGATTTTTTGCCTGTGGGGGTGCTACATGCTCGCCATCCTGCAATTTTACTACTTTAAAATAATATCCATTTTCTGGATGAGTTCTTCACTTAATAACTGCTTTTAAGAGTGTGGCGGACCGCTGGTGTTTTGCCGATAACTGCTGTGTGTCTTTATCATTTGCTTGGCAGTATCATGTTTGTATCATACCCGCTGAAGAATTCTCAACTGAATATTTGAGACCTCAAGTCCACTGTATTGCCAGCTATGGGCCGCGTGCTAATCCAAGGTAATGTGTCTCCTCCTTAGCAAATGTGTTGTATATGTAAGTATGAAACTTTTTGCAGGCTAGTGCCTCTGAAATGCTCGGTGTTAGGGAATGTTAGCATTCACGGGGACCGCCCCCCCCACTTTGCCCACCCCCCGTCCTGACCAAGTCACCTTAAGGTAAAGTCTCCTTTAAGAGAAAACCTCTCCCCCTTCTCTCTCTCTCTTCCTATCTCCCTCTCTCTCCTTCTATAAGGCTACACGCACCTCCGCCTTTTCTCTTTCCCTTTCCTTCTCTTTCTCTCTTTCCCTCTCTCCTCCCCCTTTACTAATAAAGCTTTCCACATGGATGCTGCGTCTGCATGGTGTGATTTTCTACCCACTCCGCTGCATGGAGTGGCTGTCTTTTCATCTTGGCTCAGACCAGCCGAGGCCACCATGCATCGTTTTACAACACTCGGGAACTTAACTATTATGAATTTGGGAGCATTTGCAAATACATAATAAAATCTCTTGGGGATAAGATCCAAGCCTAAACATGAAATGAATTATAGATCACATGTAGCTTTTTCACATCACCCGTGGCTAAATTTATACAGTCGCTGGTGTGCCTCTGTTTGGATTATGATCTATCACAAGAGGTCACCAGTGGAATTTTCCACTTGGGGGCATCATGTTGTTGCTCAAGATGGTTCATATTTTAGAGCACTTGGGGTGTGGAATTTGGGGTGATCAGCATCTGCTTAACTGCAACATGGGGCAAGACACTGGTGTTTATTTTAGTAGGGGATGTTAAAAAGAGAAGAGCCGTGGGGCTGGAGAGTTGGCTCAGCAGTTAAGAGAGCTTGCTGTGCAATCATGAAGACTGGAGTTTGGATCACAGCATCCATGTACGGGCGGGGCTGGACATCCTGCACACATCCGCAAGCCCAGCTCCAAGGTGGGCATCTCTAGGATGATTACGAGGGCTTGCTGGCTTCCAGGCTAGCAAGAACACACAGGCCCCAAGCTCGGGGAGAGACCCTGCCTCAGACAGACTAGGTAGAGAAGGACGCCCATGCCCTTGTTTCTGCTCACACATACAAGCATTCACACCTTCACACACATGTACACATGCACGCATGTAGACACATATGCACACAGACGGTTAAGCCTGCTCCTTGAGTGCAGGTCTGCCAACCTCTCTTCTGAGCACTCGCTTTGTTCCAATCCTTTAATCTCTGCGTCTAGGCTCTTCTTTTGAAAGACCACAGAAATAATGATCCATCTCCGAGCTGTGACATCAGGACTAGCTAATTAGTGCTCACAGGGGTTTCCAGGGGTGTTGTTTTGCTGTAGATCCAAAAATAATGAAAAGGTTCAACCCTGGAAACTTGTGTGCATGGTTAGGACTCTCGGGCACAGTGCCATTTTAGCCGTGAAACAAAGGACACCCCTTTGCCTCTCACGTCAGCATTGCTACAGAGAGAGCTCGTTTTATTAACTCATTTTTGTTCGGGGAGAAGGAAGTGTCAATACATTTCTGTCGCATGTGTTACTTTAAAACGAAGGTCTTCTTTCTGCTTTAATTACCCAGTTGAGCAGGTGCCTGGACTACGCAGCCAACAGGCCGCACTAGCCCTAAAGCTCCCAGACCCCACCCCTGATGGGTCCTCTGGTCTGTTTCTTTGCCATTGGCCGTTCCTCAGTGTCTGTTGTCTGTTTGTTATGACACAACCATATTTTAAAGTGTTCTCTTCTTTAGGGCCACCTGTGTCCCCCTGGCCCATGAAACTCCTCCGACAGCCTTAGTTTTGGATGCTCTGCGTAGGGGCCCCCTCTCTCTCCGGCCCCAGGAGCCTTCCCCTCCTGCAGAGGTCACTGATGGAGTTACCCTGAAGGCACCACAGGTAAGAATGCCCCCCCACACACACACACCCCAGTGTGTTGTTTCTAGACCAGTGGTTCTCAGAGTGTGGCACACACACACACACACACACACACACACACACACACACACACACCACCCCCCACGCTCCCACCTCACCCTGGGGCTTTTTTGGGGTGCACATTTTCAGGCCCTGCCCCAAACCTCCTTCATCCCAGGCTCTGGAGTGGGGCCAGTCATCTGGGTTTTTACCTGTTCCCAGCCCCTGAAATGTGGGAAATTCCACTCTTGGCTCTGGACCATTGAGCGATGCTGGAGCGGAGCCTGGGTAGCCCTGACTGTGACCACACCTGCCTCCCCCCTCCGTCTCTCCCTCCCCTCTGTCTCTCCCTCCCCTCCGTCTCTCCCTCCCCTCTGTCTCTCCCTCCCCTCCGTCTCTTCCTCCCCTCCGTCTCTGTCCACGTGACCACTCAGCACGTTTCCGTGGCCCGTGTTGCAGTCCCCATTGTGTTCATAGGCGGCCGCTGCTTGACCTTGTGGAGTATTAGTTTTTTCCGGAGATGGACTGTGGAACTTTGAGAGGAGCTGGTGCAGCCAGTAAATGGTTAGGCGCCCCCCACTGCACCAACACAGGACCATTTAGGTGGGGAATTCTCAATAAACATTCTCCAGTTATCATCTAGGGCTAGGAGGCGAAATGTAGTAAGGTCATGAAATGTTTTTACCATAAGCCATAAAAACATCACAGGCTCACTGAAGCCATCACAACGGTCTGGATTATGGAAATATACTGGACATCTGCGTAAACCCACCAGGGCTCTAGCAGCGGCGGCGGGCTTGGAAATTCATGCTGTCTGAGAGGGAAACCTGAGGAAGTTCCCTGAATGAGATGGGTGCAGTAAAGACACGCAAATAGCTGCTCTGTGGGTGAAAAGTGTATTCCAAACCACCCAGGCTGTCTCTGGACTTCGAGAACAGTGGGAGGGGTGGGGGAGTTTCCAGGGTGTCAGGAGGGAGACAGTGCTGGGGCGGAGGCCTTTGAGGTGCAGAGCAGGTGCTTGTGAGTGGGGATTGAAGGAGCCTGGAGGCTAGCATGGACCTGGATGTGCTAATAGACCCAGGTTAATGGAAGAGGCAAATGTCCCTTTTGCCAGAGATAAGGAGAATGCCCCCTTTCAGCAGGTAGGGGCTACTTCCTCAAGTCCCCTAGGGAATGCTGGCTTTTATCTAAATGTCAGGCTTGGGGAAAAGGAAATTTTGGGGGTCAGACATTCCCCTAGGCGATCTTGTAGCTAAGGGGAAAAAAAGCTGAAACGAAGCCCTGGTTTTGCCATCACATTTGAAAGTTGGTTATCCAACTTGCAGCCCTCACTTGAAAGATGGATAGAAGCCTGCAAGACAGCTCCCAAGGTTTAAAAAAAAAAAAGGCTCTTGCCGACCAGCCTGACAACCCAAGTTCCATCCCTGGGATGCAATGAAAGGAGAGAACAGATTCCTGAAATTGTCCTCCGGCTGCTGCATGCATGCAGGGGTACTCACGGCCCCCACCCCAGGGCACAAATAAGGGCACAAAACTCGTTTTGAAAGATGATAGACGTCCCAGATGCTGCATGGTGTTGTTGCTGTAGTTTTTGGAGTTAACGGAGCAGAGCATATTCACTTAGGCCGACAGAGTGTGGCTCTGGGCTCCCTTGTGCTTGGGGGGTGGGGAGTGGGAGAGGGTGTACCCAGAATGAGGCTCCCTTCCCCCACAGCAAGGGCGTGGACTCCTGGGCTTCCTCAGCAGCTTGTCCAGGTGTAAAGTGGTCATTGTTATAAATAGTAAAGGATGTTGCAGGTTCCGGACCGGAAGCTGAGGTGAAGTTACCTGCAGAGGAGTTTTATTAGGGCAGTTACAGCATCATAGCTGGAGGTGGAAGGCAAGCCTTCAGGCTGGGGGAGGAGCTTGCTCAGGAGAGAGAGCCGTCAGGGTTAGCACTGTAGGGTGGGGGTGAGGGCAGGGGGTGGCGGTGGGGGGTGGCTGAGGGAAAGGGACCTGGCCTCAGGTAACAGACTGCGGGGGAGAGAGCCTCACTGTAAGGTCTTGAAGGAAAGTCTTCGATTCCAAAGAGCAAAGGGGCAGTGTTCTTGGCTTACAGTTTTGGGGTGTGGGTAAGTTCTGCACCATGTGACCTAGCCTGCATAGTGGACATCAGGAAGGCCCTGAGGAGAGGCTAACTCGGGGCAGCAGGGGCTAGCCTGCAGCTGCTCTGGGGGAGGAACTCCACTTTTTAAGAGCTCCAAGCCACCTATTAACCTGCGGAGACACAGGCAGAATGCAGGAGGCGTGGCTTGATTTGGGGAAGGGAGAGCAGATGGATTTGTCATGTGACCAAAAGCTCCTCACAATGGAAGCCTGCTCCTTACATGTGTCCTGAGTCACACGGCTAACAGCTTGCGTGTTGCCCCACACCACGGGAGGGTGCTTGTCCAGCTCTTTGCAAACGTGCTGTGCATTTGTGTTGGGCATGCACCCAGGTATGTAACTGCTGTGTCATGTGTTTTGATAAATACCACCAGTTTTCCAACATAATTAACCAATCTACTCCCCCAACCCCCACCAAATGTATGGGTTGTGCCTCAGTTTCTCTATTCTGTAGGTGAGATACATTTAGTTTGCATATATTTTTTGTTGTGTGTGATTGCAAATTAAAACTTCTATAAACACTCATGTGAAGGCTTCTCTAGGAATATAGAGTTGCCATTTAAAATACCTAGCTTGTTTTAGGCTTTCAACATGTTTGTATAGTTGCTATAGCAGGATACCTGAGGCTGGATAATTTAGAGAGAAGAGGTTTACTTAGGTCATGGTTCTAGGGACTGGGAAGTGCATGATCAGGTAGCTATAATCTGGTAAGTGTTGGTTTTAAATGTGGCGCTTTTACTCTGTGAGGAAAGGTCACAAGACGCAACAAAACCCAGTGCCAGAGCTTTATTGGGGGTGAGGGAACAGAAAGAGAGCACGGCCAGGCCTGGGAAGAGACAGGTGAGGAGAAGGGAGAGAGGGGAGGAGGAGAGAGCAGAAGAGAGGGAGAATCTGTGACCGGTTTTTTGAGGATTCCCCCAGCACATGCACATGTGGGCTTACGGAGCTACGCCACGCATGCGCAGATTGTGTGACTGTGCTGTGCACATTGCGTGATCACACAGCGTATGGATGACGTAAGGCCCCTTGCTTGGCTACTGAACTGCGCATGTGCGGTCATGCAGCTGGAGGAGCGGCAGAATCCTGACAGGAAGGCTCTTGTGGGATCATAACATGGCTGAAGGTGCCACGTGGTCGGCGCTTGTGTTCCAGTAGCAATTGGTCACTCGTTCAAGAGGGGCAAGGCAGCTGGTGCCTCCTAACAACTCACTCTCGTGGTAACCGACCCCACCCTGTGAGGGAAGAACTCACTTCTGCAGATGGTTTTAATCTGTTCACCAAGGCTCTGGCCCCATAATCTAACTGCCCCCCAATATTGCATTGAAGAATTAAGTCTCGCCACGAGTCTTTGCGGGAACCAACTACAGCGACATCTCCTGTCCTGATCATTCAAAGTTCTGCCGTTTGAGAGGTCCTTCCCCCCACCCCCTTTTTCCCTCCTAGAATCAAGTGACCCTGAGAGGACTCGTACCACACCTGGGCCGACACGTCTTTGTCATCCATTTCTATCAAGCAGAGCACCCGACATTCCCCACAGAGGTGTTTGTGGATGGAGGAGGACGGTGGTCAGGTGAGCAGCCGTGAGCAGGCTCCACCACACGTGCCGGATGTCACGTGACAGCGGGTGTCGTCCTTGCGGTCATGTGACAGCAGCATCTCTCCTTCTCCAGGCTCCTTCCTCGCCTCCTTTTGCCCTCATCTGCTTGGCTGCCGGGACCAAGTGCTCTCCGATGGCCAGGTGGAGTTTGACATCTCAGAGGCGGAGGTAGCTGTGACGGTGAAGGTTCCAGAAGGAAAGTCCTTAAAGCTGGTGTGTTCTGCTTTGCCGAACGGAACGTGTTCCTTGGTCAGCCGTTGTGTGTTAGGCTTCTGCCAATACTTTCAACAAGGAATTAGTTCTCTTTAATGGAAGAGCTGATGATTTGTAGAAAAGTGTGTTTTACAAACCCATAAAATGAAACTAAGAGCCAATCAAAGCCAGGAGAACAGGCGTGACGGGGAGCCCGTGCCCCCTCCCCGACCTTTGCCTGCTCCTTGCCCCTGCTGGCCCCTCTCTGAAGCTTTTTCCCTCCTGGCTGCTTTCTGTTCCTTTCTCCTGTCCCCTTAGTGATTCCCTGACCCTGGTCTCCATATGTTCATGTGCCCCCAGGTTCCTCTCCGAGACCCCTGTGTTATTTCTCTGTGCACATCATGCCTGTCGAGTCTGTTCCCTGCTTTGTGGGAACATCACCCATGTCTCTGAATTCACTCTTGATCATGCCTAAACCCCAGGCCCAATATCCACCCATCCAAGGTCCCCTCTGACGTGGCCTGACCTGCTTCCAGATCTCTGTGCTGTCCCTGGTATTGAACCTGCTTCACCCTGGCCCGCGTCCTTGCTCTGTTTACTGCGTCTCTCTGGTCTACCCACTTCATTCTGGTTCATTCACCTCACTCTGGAATTCATGGCCCTCCTGCCTGCTTCTGTTATGACCAGATCTTGGGGACCCCCAAAAGACCACCATGGAGACCGAATCCCATATGTAAAAGCAAAGAGCCTTTATTCTCTTCAAGCTCCGAGCTTGGACTCTCTGTCTGTCTGATGCGGAGGTGATAGCAGAGAGCCCCAAGCCCAGGCAGGGTGGGTTTTTTATCATAGCAGAGGTTGGGGTGAGGGGATTTCCAGGGTTCAGGACCCTGATTGGCTGACATTTGTCTAGGGGTGTTTGTAAAACAAAAATAGGCATGTGCTAGACTCAGGGACATCTGACGACCTTGTCTAATGGTTGGAATGTTTGGGATGTCAGGTACTTCCCCATCCCTGGGTGGATCTCCGGGTGGGGTCAGCTCATGGCTTTTCCTAGATCTGGGTGTTGCCTACCAGTAAGCCTGTCACAGAAGCTGGGCCTGGGCCTCTAGGCCTTTCATGGCAGCTGTGTGGTCAAGTCGTTTGGGGGCCCCTCCACACTTCTAATTCATCTTTCATTCATCCTCCTCTGTCCCATGCTCTCCCTTCCATTCTCTGACCATCATCATTCAAAAGCTCGTAGCTATGCCATCGTTGACAATGCCAGCAGGCTTTCTTGTGCTCTTTTCTAGAATCTTCTACCTACACTTGTACCTGACAAAATCCTGTTGACCAATGAGCCTAGCTTAGAGTTAATTCACCTTTTCCTTAAGGATGTCTAGAAAAAAAACCAGAAAGAGTTTACTGGGTTTTGCTCTGAGGCCTTCCTGTTTGTTCCTGTGTCCCCCCCCCCCTCTCTCTATCACTCCAGAGTACAGGGTATTCATTTTATATCCCCTGTGCCTAGAACCCTGCCTGGCACGTGGTGCTCAGCAGATGATTGTGGAGAACAGTCCTCTCTGTCAGCTGTGAGCTGGTAAACAGTTGTTAAAGACATCGAGCCTTCCCTCAGGGTCTGTGAGTGCTGTATCAGGTGTAGGGGAACTGAATCGTGCTACAGTTACTCTGTGTTACTTACTTTTCTACTGCTGTGATAAAAACATTGACCAGGACCACCCACAGAAGGAAGGGTGACCTGGGGCTTGTGGTCCCAGAGATAGGCATCCGTCATGGATGGAGGCATAGTGACAAGGGCAGGCATTGTGGCTGCAGCAGGATGCCGAGAGCTTCCTTCTTGAATCACAAGTAGGAAACAGGAGGCAGGGGTGGGGACTGTGCATACACACTGGGCTCTCAAAGGCTGCCTCCAGCGCTGCCCACCCTCCGCGAGGCCACGCCTCCAGT